TACCCCACACGATCTTCACACACATAACCCACGCTATCCCCACACACACTGATTCTACTTTATTATTTCTGGATTTCCAAAAATTACTCCGAAAATTCACAACGTTAATATTTATTAAAATTTACCAGTCATTAGCTTACAATAAAAACTCCTAAATTTATTCTCATAAATTAATAAATTTACTTCTTAAAAATTCCGGCTTAAACCGACGCTTCCTTTTCCCGCCATTTTGAACACGAACTTATCTCTGCGCATTAACAAATTTCTCAGAACCTTTGCCGCAACATTTTACCTCGACATTTTTGTTGCGGGTAAAACTGTTAATTTTTCTCGGACGTAATCCACACGAATAAATAGTTTTTATAATAATTTTACCGGAACAGCAATACTAAATTATTGACAAATTTTTTTCAAGACAAGATTTCAATATATAAGACTCCCCACGCAGAAATTGGCAATTAAATCAGATAATAAATTATAATTTTACTCAATATGAAAATTACGTGCCTCAACTTTCCTGCGGATATTTCAGTCTTATTTGCGTCGAAATTTAATGAATTAGTTCTCAACAATTAATAACACGTGGAATAATAAATTTCTAATAATTTACGAATGACGATTAGATTATCAATAATTCACCTCAGTGTGAAAAAAAGTAATTTCAAAAAATTATCCACGGTCTTAAATTTCGAAATGCGACGCAGTTTTCTCAATAAATCAATTCCGGTAATTAAAATTTTTCCGAATAATTAGTTAAAAAATTTTCCACAATTAATAAATAAAATAAAATAAAATAATTAATTAAGGGGTAATTCAATCGTTAAAATTAGTCCATGTATTTATTTTATAAATTTTACTGCGTCACCAATTCTTAAGGAATGTACGCTCAAAATGGACGCCGTTACTGCGTAGTTAGCTTGACCTCGGGTATCGAGAGACGCTTGACTGGTCGTGAGCTATGATTGGAATGACGGTGATTTTCTCGGTGTTCAGAAAATTATACTAATAATTTGTTAATAAAAAATGAATTCATTAATTCCAATCAAAGGTGTTAATTATTATTAACCTGCAGAATTAATAATTTAGATACTCACGACCAAACCCAGGAGGTCTGGAACATTCCTCGGGTGTAACAATCCCCTGGAGGAATTGTTCACAAAGCTAACAAAATTAATTTAATTAAAACAATTAATTATTAATAAAATATTAGACGAATTGAATTACCAAATTAATGAAATGAGGAATAGATCAGTAGTTCGAGCCGGGTATAAACCCCAAGGCTCAATTAACGAAAATTTTTACCTTAACAATTTTTCGTACTGAAGAACTTCTAGGATTGGCTTGGGCTTCCTTCCTGCTGTGGTGGTTGGTGATGCCACTTGCTGAACCACTTCACTACTTCTGCCCGCTTCACGCCGAGCGATCAGCTAAATAACCTCAAGCTCCCCCTTCCCCCCTTAACTCTAATCGGGTATTGTCGGGTCCCGAAGATCGAGAGGCCAGTGCTGCGTCGAATAATTATCACGCGCGATCGATTTTATCGATCAGGGGCAAAGTGCCCTGTTACAGAATAATCTAACCGATTACCCGAGTAAAGCCCAATCAATTAAAAACAATGATACAATCCTATGAATTACGATAAGGAAAACACGGATAGATTTTAATTTTTGGTAACAACGGATAAGTTATGATAGCATTTATATCGGAGCATTTTTTGGTCCATATAGACGTATCAGGATTCTTATGGGAACTTAATATTTTCTATCAGGCTTTTTTCACAGGGATGAAAGAGTCGTTATTTACTATAGTGATAACTACTAATCACTTATTTTGGACATTAAATTATAAATTGTGGCTTTTATACTTTCTACATTAAGTAATATTTATATTTTGCCACCCCGATGTCCCCTTTACTGTTTGAAACTATAAAAATTAACCGGAATCCGAGTGAATATTACAGTTTAATTTTTTTCCGTGTACGACTAACGGACTTATTATCTTAGAAATTAACGCAGGTCCTAAATATTTAACCCCGCGATGTATCCAGCCGCTTTGTTACTCAGCTTTCGATTAGGATAATAAACCTTGTCCCCGACAGAGACCTCCGGGATTTTTAAATCAGTCCCGTGGTATTTTTCTTGTCGCTCGTTTTCCTTTCTCATAACAGATTCAATTTTATGCCTGAGCTCATCAAGACGCTGTACCCTTTTGGCCCACTCTGGATTTTTGAATTCAATATCATCCAACTCTAAGTGAGTTGTCTGACCTGCTGGACGCGGTTCTTGGCCATGGAATAAATAGTACGGTGATAATTTTAAGGAAGAGTGGAAAGCACTATTGTAAGCCAGTTGGAACTCACCCAGGTGCTCATCCCACTCTCTCTGGTCTTTATTGATGAAAGCTCTTATCATTGGTTTCAATGTACGATTAATGCGCTCTACTGGATTAGCCTGAGGATGAGAAACGGCTATTGGAGAAAACTTCACTCCGACTTCACGCAGGTAGTCCTGCACTAGAGTGTTGATGAATTCCTTACCGTTATCTGTAACCAGAAACAGTGGGTATCCCCAAAGTGTGAATGTCCATCTAAAACACTGTAGTACAAAGGTACCCTTGTGTTGTCGTAAAGGAAAGAATGCCGAAAACCGGGTATAGAGATCTTGGACCACTAAAATGTAACAATTTCCCCGTTTTGATCTTGTAAAGGGGCCTGTGACATCAGCTGCCACTACCGCCCACGGTTTAATCGGTTGTCTCGTCTGAAGTGGAGCTTTCGAGGAAGTTTGCTTATATTTAACCTGTTTACAGGTTTCACAGGCTTGTACGAAGTCTTCAACATCCTTCGACATGCCTGGCCAGTAAAACTTGATCTTAATGCGCTTGTACATTTTATCACGACCGAGATGACCAGCATCTGGTTCCACGTGATTCCTTCTTAGTATTTCTGGTACTTCATGATCTCTCAGTACCTTTTTCCACTCATCCTCGTCACCCAGGATCTCCTTAAGGGGATCGGATCTTCTATAATAAAGATGATCCTCCAGGATTTTCCAGTCTGGAAAATTCTTTGGTTGTTTCCTGACATTATTAAATTTAATGTCATACCAATTTGATGTTTGAATATGTACAAACCTAGCTGTTTGTAGTCTGTCCTTTATTTCCATCCAATCTTCTGGAGAATCATCTTCATATAGCCGAGAAAGAGCGTCTGGGCCCTCGTTTGTCGAACCTCGTTGATGCTTAATGGTGACTTGGTGAGAAAAGAGCTCAACTGCCCATCTCGCCAGGCGTCCGTTCGGTTCTTTAAGTGAGTGCAGCCACAATAGAGAAGCGTGATCGGTGACCACCGTAAACGGAGCACCTTCGAGATAGCATCTCAGCTTCCTCACCGCCCAGACTACAGCTAAGCACTCATCCTTTTCTGTAGTCGTGTATCTAGTTTCTGCACCACGGAGCTGACGACTAAGACAAATAATTAAATGCTCCTTGTCTGTTCTGGGTTCTTTTTGAACTAGAAAAGCCCCAAGACCGGTGTCGCACGCGTTAGTGTATAATACATACAGCCAGTCTGGTTTTGGAATTGACAAGGGCTGAGCATCAACGAGAGATTGCTTAAGTTGTTGAAACGACTTCTCTTCTTCTGGACCCCACCTCCACTCCGAATTTGCGCCTGTTAATTTGTTCAAAGGACCTTGAGCCTTCACAACATTCTGCAGGTGGCGGTGGTACCAGTTAACGAGGCCCAGAAAACTTCGTAATTGTTTTTTGTTTGTAGGAGTGGGAAAATTTACGACTGGTGAGATTCTTTCTGGATCTGGGTATAACCCAGTTTCGTTGACCACAAATCCCAAGAACCTCACCTCGTTTCTGCAAAACTTGCACTTCTCCGGGTTGATGAGGAGACCAAATTCGCGAAATACTTCAAAACGCAGAGCTAGGACTTTTAGATGTTCTTCAAAGGTTTTACTTATCGCGATCCAGTCATCAAGATAAGCGAAAACCTGTTCAGCCCAATTCAATAGAAGCTCTCTTTGGACTAATAATTCGCAAAAACGTGGATTTAGGTAGTCCATGGCTTTTTGAAAAGTACTCGGGGCTTCTACGAGTCCGTATGGCATACGTAACCACTCGAATTAGCCTTTACCCTCCACGGAGAATGCTGTTAGTGGAACTGAGTCTGGTGACATGAGAATTTGGTGAAATGCCTCTCGTAAGTCTATTGTTGAGATGTATGTCGCACCATGAAGATTGCTCAGTATTCTGAGCATGTTCGGCAGTGGGTGAGCAGGTAGAATTGTTACTTTGTTGACTGGACGATAGTCAATACAAAATCTCCACTCGTTGTTGGGTTTTGAGACCATCAACGGCGAACATGACCAGACACCGAAGCTCGGGCGAATGAACTTTTTCTCTAGAAGTTCATCAATCTGTTTATTCAACTCTTTGTTCACAACTGGACTTCTACGATATGGTTTAATTCGTACAGGTTGTGTTCCTGGTTTTAAGATAATTTCATGTTAAATAATCTTAGTTGCTCCTAGATTTGACACCATCAAATTTTCTCAACTCAGTCTCCAGAAAGTCTTTTAATCTTGCTTCTTGAAGTTCAGACATAGCACATAATTGTGCTGACTTCTCATGACAGTTGATAGGTTGGAATAAAAAGACTTCTGGAGAATCCGAAAATTTCCACGTGCAGTTCTTGCAGTCGATTTGTACCTCGAATTTAGTCGCGAAGTCCATCCCCAGGACCAAGGAATAACCTTGGTCGGGTAATACACTCAAATATTGTTCCCCAGCGACTGATCCGACTTGAATTATGGAAGGGGTCCACCTTTACTTTTACAAGTAGAGTGATTAGCAAGAAGCACTCCTTTCTTCGTCTGATCGTCTTGTAGCTCACCAGCAGCCAGGTATTTGATATCTTCGTATACCTTTTCGTTTATGTAAGACCTCTCACTGCCAGTATCCAAAATTCCTTGGAGCTTCACACCGAATATCCATACGGATATTGGTATATGTGACGTCTTTTCCGGTGGTGACCCGTTTCCGGGCTTAAAAATTCGTCGACTAGCTAGTCGATGAGTGAAAGACGCAGTGAGAGGTTTACCTTGTAGAATAGGTGGTAAAAACGAAGCTTGTGAGGGCTTATTGGCGTCAGTACCCGATAAAAAAAGTTTTTGTCTAATTATATATGATCATATATAATTATATATAATCATATATGAGAGCATATATAATCATACATGATTATATATAGGGTCATATATAATCATACATGATTATATATAAGCTCATATATAATTAGATCTGATCATACCTGGCTGTTATAACTCCATATATAATCATGTATAAGTCTATATATGATCAGATCTGATTATATATAAGTCTACATATAATTAGATATGATCATACCCGGCTATTATAGCTCCATTTATAGACATATATAAGTCTATACATAATCAGATCTGATAATATTTATAATTCCCAAATTTTCAAATAACTTTAATACTACATGAATAAATAACTGAAAATTACATTTCATGATAAATTGATAAATCATACACAAAAGATTTTTCATTTGGCATAAAATTGCATGAAAAAGAATAATAATATCAATTTCGTATTGTATTTAAAAAATAAA